GGGTGCGGGCGTTGGAGTGCGTGTGTTTCAAGGCCTTGCCTTCAGCAGAGGGGCAACGGCCCGGGCAGCGGCCCCGAGGGCCCTTGTGTGAAGCCGACCCTGTTCTCAGTAGGCCAGGGATTGCTGCATGGATGGATGGTGCGCTCCCCGGCCCCGCGGTCGCTGTCACAGCACGGTGGCGGTGTGCATTCCGCGGGTCGGCTTGCTCCATGCCCTGCTTGGGTCGCTAGCGTATTGTGCATGGGTTCCACCTTTTGCGCGTGGTGCCGGGCGCCCTCCCTCTGCCCCGAACGGACGGCTTTGAGGTTGCGGGCAGGGTTGCGGCGTTGTAGCTTAAGAGATGGCGGTTTCTCGGAGTTTCCCGCGGCTGCAGCCCTGCCTGGTACCTGTGTGTCTGCCAGATCCTTGCTCTTGTTGACTGGCCCAGCTACAAGTCTCATTTTCTGTAACAAACGCAAAGCAAAGCTGGAGGGCGGATGACCTGGGTTTCTCGGAGTTTCCCGCGGCCGCAGTCATGACTGGTACCTGTCCGTCTGCCGGATCGTTGCACTCTGCGGCTGGGTGCATCACTTGATGAAACCAAACGCAATGCAAAAAGAGGATCAAGCGGCGCTAGCACGCTGGAAGTGCGAGAGACAGAAGAGTGCACGCACCCACAACGCTTGTTTGTTTCAAGAGCAGTTGTACTCAGGTGCGGGCATCCAGCCTGCACAGACGTGCAGGTTGCGAGAAGCACGCAAATAATCCACTCCACTCCCACGAACTCAATGAGCACGGCAACAGTTCGTGGAAGGCCCCCCAAAAAGCTGCCGTCAATGCGCAAGAGATTCAAAGCTTGCACCGTGTGCCACCACCGCCCTCGGCAAGTCAGGCGGCCACAAGTGCTGGCTCCTTGGCCCCTGCCTTGTCTGCTGCGGAATCCTCCTCAATAGCAGCTGGGCCGCCGTCCACCGCGGCATGCCCGTGGGCCTCCAGAAACCGCTCCGCCTCAAGCGCTGTGAAGGTTGTGAGTTGCAGGTTGGGCAGCGGGACACACCAAAAGTGAGCAAGCACAAGGAGAGGTTGGCAGCTGAGTGCTCTTCAGGCTAGGTGGAAATGGAGTACAGCAACACGTGAACCACCATGCAACGCGTCCTGACTTGAAACCAATCGTGAATGGCTCATTGCATAGGTCAAGTCGTCTTGATTGCTGCAATTCAGCGCTGCAAACATGCATGCGCACGCAGCGCACCTGCCATGCAGCCAGTGCCCGCCGCAGTGATGGCCTGCCGCCACACGTGGTCCTGCGTGCAACATTGGTCACGATTATGAGCGCAGGCCCCAAAGTGCGGCGGGGGTACGAGGTTGGGCATGCAAAATTGCATGATTATGGACTGTTTGATAGACAAAGCGCCAGCTGACGCACCGCTTTGCAACACTGGGTGGGTGTCGTTGCAGCGCAGCGCGGCACCATAATGCAGCGCAGCACCATTGCAGCGCGGCACAACTGCAGCGCGGCACAATTGCATCGCCGCACCTGCACATCACCAGCAGCAAACACGCCCTCGATGCTCGTGGCGGTGCTGTCGGGTGCGGTGACAATGTAGCCGGCCTCGTCCAGCTTCAGCTGGCCGTCCAGGAACTTGGTGGCCGGCTCATGGCCTGCAAACGCGGGGCGGGGGAGAGGGGTGACAGACGGCAGGGGCCGCAGCTTGGGTTGCGACCAAGGTGCACGACGAGGGTCTGGCTGAGGGTGTGACAGTGGGCGCAACAAAAAACTTTCCTGCCTATGAACACTGTAGATGCGGCTCAAAAGAGATGTACACAAGTGGTGACTTGTCAAAAATGGTGAAACCTTGGCATATAGTCTCACCAATGGCAAAGAAGAGGCCAGAGATGGGCAGGTCAGTGAGCTCGCCGGTCTTCACGTTGCGCACCTTGACGCCACCCAGCATGTTCTACTCGTTGCAAGATGAGTGTTTAGGTGTGTGGGCGCACACGTGTGCGTGGGTGTGTGCATGTGCATGAGCACGTGTTGGAGTGGGAGATAGCGCGCACGCACATGTGTGTATATGTGTGTGTGTGCGCGCGCGTGTGTGTGCGTGCGCGCACATGCGTGCTTTATTGTGTGCATGTGTGTGAGTGTGTGGGTATAGTGTACATGTGAAATGCGTGTGCGGACATGCGCCCGTATGACCCAAGTATCCACAGACAGGCTGACGCCCCTCCCACCGCCGCACCCGCTCGTTGCCGTACGCCTCCTCGACGGCGCTGTCCCACAGCACCGTGATCTTGGGGTGCTCCAGGGCGCGCTTCTGCATCACCTGCAAAAGTTTCCAGGGGCAGGCGAGGACAACGATACATCTCAACAAAAAAATTCACATGATGATGCAAACTGGCGACGTCGGTCGCACAGGTAGAAACCACAGCGGTGCATGGCTGTCCCTTGCTGCGATCAGAAGGCCGCCCAGCAGTTCCGCGCGCCGCCACAGCGGCGCAGGCCCGTGCAGCAGTGGGTTCTAGCACGCGGAGGCCAGCAGCCACAGGGGTCATGGGCTGTGAGAGCACACCAAAGGGTGGAAGGGGCTCGTAACGGTTGCTTCAAACGCAGGGCGGTGGCGCGCACCTTGCTGGCACGGAACGCGTCGCGGCGGTGGATGATGTACACATGGCTGCCATACCTTTGGGGATGGGGCGGTGCAGGGA